ATTTTTAATTAGCAATCTAAACTTAACGAGTTCTATTAGCTGTTGTGCTGACGTTCTAATCGACCTGGCTCTTTATGGAAGTCAACCCAAACGGTTGTCCTTTCAATATGTGATGAATTTATTAATACTTTTTGTAAATTTAGATATTAATGATTTTTTATTGGTGCAGCAATGCCGGGCAAAAGCTATTTTTGCTTGGAAACGTGATGCAACTAAACATATCTCTAAACATATATGTGGAAGTGAAAACCAATGTCGCCACTACTACTTGACATCAGGCTGTCAGATGCGAGTTTCATGTTTTACCTGAAACTTCTGATTTAAATTGTACTGCTCTAAACTCTAACCCGCGGGGAGCCCACATTTAAATAATGATAATTTGAAAAAAAAACAAATAAATTGTAAGAAACATTTCAGTAGTAACATTTTGCTTTAAGGCAAGCTGCATGAACTTTCCGCTAAGAATACGTAATCAACTATCTTAATTAAGATTGAGTTTCAACTATTCAGGTAAAATTTTCAACTGTATATTTTGAAAAAAAAATTGCCTTCATTAAAAAATAATCAAAACGATTTCCAATTGGTCTTTCAAACATACTTATAAGATCTATAATTGTAGAAATTGGAACTTTGTTAACTTGTTTTAAAAATCTCATTTCAACTATTTCATGCTCTAAGAATGTGATTTATTTAAGCGTAGATGTCAACCGCAATCAGTAGCTACCAGCGAAACTCAGAATGTATATAGATTTTTGGCGTAGATTCTAATTAGAACCGCTTAATAACGCAAGCAAAATTCTAAACTTTGAGGATTTTTTTTAATCCATCTGCTTTTCGTAGGCCTATAATATTTTAGTATGTTTTTGCAGACTACAAAATTTATCGTTATACAAAATTTCATCAAAATAGTGAAAAAAAAATCGTTGAAGAAATCTTTACCAAAAAGTAAGCAACACGTTTGCAAGACAATATCTTTCGAACAGTTTTAATTTATAAAATCGATTCAAGATTGTGGGCTAAAACGTGGACGGAAAATTTTACACTTTTTTCCTAATTATAATAAACGGATTGGCCGATCGTCGCACAAAACTTCTAGTCGCTAGTGCTTATCGAGAAATATCGAATGACTTAAATTTTCGAAATCGGTTCAGCCGTTTTCATAATCGGCTCACGAACACACCCACCACACACACACATACATACATACTTTTTCCAAACTTCATCTAAATCGCTTCAGAATGACTTGAAACATCGAAAAAACAAAATTAGTATATCGATTTTTTTGGTGAAAACAAATTTTCTTCAGATTGTAAAATGTTTTTTTTTCAATTTTGATGTCAAACGATTCAGAATAAAATGGTAAATTGTTTTCCATGTAAAAAACTAGATATAACGAGAACAAAATTTTATTTGAAGATTGCTTTAGTGGAGAGCAAATTTGTAGATTGCACCCTCTAAATATTGAAACTTCAGGATACATTTAGTTCTTATCAAGCTTAGATTAAGTGGCCATTCTTTTCTAGTAACAATTGGAATGAGTGCCAATACTTTTCTCGTAATAAAGA